CTCCCTCCTTCCCTCCAAAAGGGGAAACACATTTTTAAATTCCAGCCTGCAGGGTCCAGCCTGATGGAGTGCATTCCAGCGTCTGGAGGCCGCGCTCCCCAGGAACAGTAGCTCACAGTCCCAGGGCACAGCGCTCGGCCGCCCCACCCCTTCCTGGGGGGCTGGGTGAGATGTGGGCCAGGCCCAGGCCCTGGGCAGCAGGCATCTCCAGGGGAGCGTGACCTCGGCTCCGCAGCTCGCTCAGGTCTGCTCCCGGTCGACCTGCCTCACGGCATCAGGTCCTTCAGTGAGCCATCAGATAGGGGCAGGCGAGGTGTCCACTTTACAGACGGGGAGCTAGAGCCCAGAGGAGCTCAGCTACGTGCCCAAGGGTGCACAGCTTCTCGTGGATAGAGGGGATCGGACCTCACGGCCTGGGAAAGGGGGTGACCTTTGAGCACATTTCCCGTCCACATGCCCGTGGAGAGCCACCRCGCCTTCCTCTGCCACCGTCAGCCGACCGGCGCCGTCCAGGGAAGAGCCACAGCACAGCAGGTCCTGCAGATGCAGGGCTCCTCCTTCCAGGGCTGAGAGTCCCCAGGACAGGAGGCCTTGGAGGGGCTGGGCCCAGGCCTCACAAAGCCAGGACCAGGACSCCAGCACAAAGCTCGGTGGCCCCTGGGAGTTCAGCTGGTGTTGGGGGACGGGGTGCCCCACCCGTCCGGAGAAAGCTCCTCCTGACCACCTTTCTTCCCGCGGACCCCAGGTCAGCTCGGGAGGACTCTCGCTGTGCCCTGAGGGGAAGCACACAGTGTCCACACKGAGGGGTCCAGGGTGTGCCCTCTGGTGTGGGGGCATGGGGTAGCCGGAGGCAGGTGCTCGGGCCTGGGTGTCCTGTTGCGACTCCAGCCGGGCACCCTGTGGGCTTCCAGAAAGACTGTCCATGGGCCCCCGGACCCTGCACAGCCATTAATGCCAACTGGACGTGGAAGCCAAGCTGCCAGAGAGGCGGGAGGCAGGGGGTCAGGTGCCACAGTGGATGGCGTCCCCGTCCAGCCAGTGGGCAGCTGGGGGACCTGGTGGAGGGTAAGGGGTGGGGCAGGCTGGGCAGGGGCTGGTCCTGGGGGCAGGGCCCGTGTTCAGTGCAAGAGAGGAAGCAGCGCCTCTCCCCGGCCGGAGCTGCCTCCCAAGACGGGTGCTCCCCCAGGGTGCAGGCTGGGCCTGGGGTGGGWCTGGCGGGCAGCCGGCTCTGGCTTTGTCCCCAGGGCCTCGCGGGGTCTCCCAGCGCAGCAGGCACCTGCTCTATCCCACGTGCGAGCCCAGCTGCCGCGGTCTCCCTCCCACGCCTCCTCGCTCTCAGGTTGAAGGTCCGACTCCCTGTCCGCAGTCCCTGCCCAGGACCCCAGGAGACCTGGGGCGCTCCCAAGGGGCACCAGGAGCGGCCACCACAAGGTGCGGGCCCGAGCACGCCCCGTCCCCGGCCTCCGCCTGGCCCACCGCTCGGCCCTGAGACGCCSTTTCCCAGGCTCCTTGTGTCTGCCTCCCCAGAGGGCAGAGGCGGGGACCACGGCCTCTCTCTCGGTCCCCTCCTGCCCTGGCCTTTCCTCCGCATGTCTGCCAGGGCGTCCTCTGTGGCTGCAGCAGAGGCTCAGCCTCCCCCCTGTGCTCAGCAGGTGACAGCAGCTCCTGTCCTTGACCTCGGGTGGCGTCACCCCCGGTTCTTTGGGAGAGGTCACCCTCGCTGCAGGTTCCCTTCCTKCGCCCCTCTCTAGGCCTGGCCCGGGCCCTTCCCTGCACCCTCAGCCCAGGACCCTCGGGCAGGCTGCAGGCTCTTCCCCGATGGCTGCCGTGGGTGACCGTGGACGCCTGGCTTCCTCTCAAGTCCCATGAGGGTGACSGCCTCGCCACTGTCCGGCCTGAGGACCTGGGCCACTTAGGCCCACTCGGAACGTCAGCTGGAGAGGGGCCGAGCGAGTGGTCAGGAAGGGCTGCAGGAGCCCCCTCAGCGGAGCCTCGCGCTCTCGGGACTCCATTTCCCCTTCAGAACGTTGTGGCGGAGGCCTGAGGGGCCCGTCCCTCGACACCTCACTAGGATGGTGGAGCACCTACTGGCCACCAAGGCGGGTGGGTGG